AAAAAAAAAAAAAAAAAAAAAGACTCTTCAGTGTAAGAGAACTCTGTGAGATGAGAGTAAACCAAGTATTGTATAAATAAAAAGATAAAAAAAACAATAAATGGATAGTAACGTTTCTTTAATCTATGTTATTCCCTCTCTCTCTACCTTTACATTGATTGTCATGGAGTAGTTAGTACCCCAATTGCAATCATATTGTTTTCTGTATTCCGATAAAATGAAAGGGAAAAAAGGAAAAAATAAAATATCCCGCTGAAGTGCCACCTGAATAACACAAAAGAGGAAAAAAAAAACGAGACACAAATGGTTGGGATATAAATCTAATAATAAAGGGAAAAAAATGACAATAAATTATATATTTTATTTCTTTTTTAATTACTGTTGTATGGTGTAAACATTCGTGTCACAGTAGTGTCAAACACTGAGAATGATGGTAAAGTGGGAAAATGTGAATACACTAAACAGCATGACGTATTATTTTTATTTTTGTAGATGTGTAATAGTGAACTTGGTATTTGAGTTCTATTTGACTTTTTATTTGGGGATTGAGAAATTGTCAACATGGTATTCTTTTATATGTTATTATTATTATTATTATTATTATATTTTCGTTTTGTTTTTCAATCATCGTTAACCAACGCCACCTTTCTTTTCCTTGCCTTGAAGAAAAATGAGGAATCTTTTGGCGCACCTGTTTGTGAGTTCACTTGGGTGTGAATTAAAGAAATGATGACAGTAAAATTAGGGAAGTATATTCCTTATTGTATTTACTTTTTTGATTCTCTCTCTATATATATGCCTACTTTTCTTTCCACTCTATTGTTTTTTTTTGTTTTTCGGCCCCTGAATATGATGAGGGGGCAATTCTGTGGGATTCTCTTCCATGGCTAACGTCAACTCATTTGCTGTGCTCAGCTCAGCGTGTGAAAGAGTGGAAGGGAGAGCATCAGAGTGAGTGTAAAAGGAAAACAAAGGGTGTGTAATGTGTATGTCTCTCTCTTTCTCTATAATTTCCCTATTATTTTAGGCAGATAATAGTAAAGTGAACAGGAGTAAGACATGGTAATGGTGCAGCAGTGGGTGTGCTCCTTTACGAGTTCATTTGTAGTTGAATAGACAGAACAGCCTGTAAAGGGGAGTATGGTCTGTTTTATTATCAACAATGGGAGTGTTTGATGGTGTATAAGTGAATGCACTGGAGTGGATCAAAAGATTGATA